CGCAGGTAGTAATAATAGAAGCAGTATGAGTAGTTCTCTTGGCGGTAGTAGAAGTAGTAGTGCAAAAAAGTAGCAGCAGGAATATTAGCAATCGTAGTAGTAGTGGTAGTAGTAGTAGTAGTAGTAGTAGTAGCAGTAGTCGTAGCTGGAAGAGAAATGTTAGTAGCAGACGTGGGGATAGTTAGTAGAGTCGTCGTAGTAGTGGTAGTAGTAATCGCAGTAGCAGTAGTAGTCGTAGTAGTAGTAGTAGTAGTAGTAGTAGTAGTAGTAGTAGTCATACCAGTAGTAGTAATCGTAGTAGTAGTAGTAGTAGTAGTAGTAGTAGTAGTAGTCATAGTAGTAGTGCGTGTGGTGATAATAGTTCTAGCCGTAGTCGTGGCAAGGCAGTCGCAGTAGTAGTCGTATCAGTGCCAGCAGTGAAAGTAGTAGCAGCCGAACTAGTAGGAGCGGTAGTAGTAGTCGTATGAGTAGTAGCAGCAGTAGTAGTAGTAGTAGTAGTAGTAGTAGTAGTAGTAGTAGTAGCAGTAGTAGTAGTAGTAGTAGTAGTAAGTAGTAGTAGTAGTAGTAGTAGTAGTAGTAGTAGTAGTAGTAGTAGTAGTAGTAGTAGTAGTAGTAGTAGTAGTAGTAGTAGTAGTAGTAGTAGTAGTAGTAGTAGTGGTAGTGGTAGTGATAGTAGTATGTCTAATAATAGTAGTAGCAGCAGTATTAGTCGTAGTCGTAGCCGTGGCCGTAGTAGTAGCAGCAGCAGCAGCAGCAGCAGCAGCAGTAGTAGTAGTAGTAGTAGTAGTAGTAGTAGTAGTAGTAGTTGTAGTCGTAGTAGTCGTAGTAGTAGCGTCAGTGGTAGTAGTAGTCGTAGGAGGAAGAATAAAATAATAGCCGAGGCCGGAGTAGTCGAAGAAGTAGTAGTAGTAGTAGCCGTAGTAGTAGTAGTAGTAGTAGTAGTAGTAGTAGTAGTCGTCGTAGTAGTAGTAGAAAATAAAAAGTAGTCGTAAGACTAATCGTGGAAGTAGCCGTCGCAGTTCTAGTAGCCGTAGTGAGGATGCGATAATTGATAGTAGTGGTGGTGGTGGTAGTCGGTGTAGTAGTAGGAGCAGTATATGTATTAATCGTACATGTGCTCATCTCCCTCACCCCTCGCCCTCCTCCCCCTGCCTCCCTCCTCCCTTCGCCCCCTCCCGCGCCCCCTCCTCTCGACCCCCATGGATTCGCCCTACCTACCCACCCTGTTCTGTTCGGTGCTCGATTCAAGAGGAAGTAACCAACCCAATGAGGGGCAACGAGGACGGGGGGGGGGACTGGCTCAGGCGGGAAAACATGGAAACATCGACGCGGTACATCGCCGATCAATCCGCGACACTCCCCCGTGCGCGAAACCTCACGTTCCTGGGCGGCGTGGGCTATCGGGGCTCCCATCGGCGATGAGTGAGGTTCCCCCTGAACGCTACGGATCATCCCAACGAGGGCTTCCAGAGGACCCTCCACGAAGGAGCTTTCATGGCCATGGCGAGCCTCGCCCACGAGTTGGATGCCCGACTAAGGTCCGACGAACGCCCAAGGAACCAAAACCCCTCCTGAGCTCGAAAAGGCACGTATCTCAGCATCTTGGCTGGATGGAAACTGTTCCTTCCTTGACCCGTCGATCGCCGGCCTCCTCTCTTCGGTTGCTCGCTCGCTCCCTCTCTCTTTCTCTCTGTCTCTCTCCATCTCCCTTCTCCTCAAACGCCCTCATCGATCTCATCCCCCCATTCAAACGCTGCCAGAGGGCGCTTCCGACTTCATCCTCCTCATGATTGGCCTCTTTGCCCACCTCTCTATCCGCATCATCTTCCCCATCCCCCTCCCTGATAAAGCCCGCAGATCGTATCAAGTGGCCGTGGTCTCGGCCGAACACTGCGATCACGGCCACGGCCGTCGATCGCAATTCGAACTAATGCATTAGCAAGGGGCGGAGGAGTTTTTCAAGGTTTTGGGTGAAGGTTGACGGTTATCAGCACACGCGCTGGGGCCCGCTGAAGCCAACAGGAGGAAGGGCAGGAAAGGCGCGGAAAGGGAGGAAGAAGGAAAATAAGAGGAGGAGGAGGGGGACAGGAGGAGGAGGAGCACCAGCAGCAGCAAAAGGAAGAGCAGGAGGAAGAGGAGATGGAGGTTGGAGAAAGTGGAGGAGGAGGAGGAGGAGCAGCAGCAGCAGGAGCAGGAGCAAGAGCAGGAACAGGAGCGGGAGTTGGAGAATGAGGAGGAGGCTTCTGAGACGGAGCTTGAACGATGGCCAGAAGATTTCATGTTTCACACTGCCACGGCACGCACAACACGCCGCTGTAGGCGAAAGCCTGGTCCAGGGCAACTACTTAGCACGGAGCACCTTTGCTGTGCGCGCTGCCCCACCCCCTTCCAGTCCCGCTGAGGCCTAAAAAGGGGTGAGGTGTTATATAAAAGCTGCCCGAAGACGGCCCCCAGACGAAGTGTCCAGAAGACCCTTGTCCCGGACACTTTGGGCGAAGTGTATATGAAAATGCGGCATCATCTCGAGCTCCCTAAGAAAGCCCCTTAGCAAACATGTATTCATCCTCCTCCTTCCCATTATGCACTTGGCTGTTGGGCCTTGACGCCTGGCGTCGTCGCTCAGCGCGCGTGGCGCACAGTTGCCGCATTCTCCGAGTCCTGTAGCAGTCTATTCACGTTTGCTCAGAGCCTTTAGCATTCCAAGGACAGTGGACTCTGCAGAGCTACCAGACCAGACCAGACCAGCGGCCACCGAGTCCTGGGCCCACCGAGCCCTGAGCCCTAACATTGCCAGTCGCTTGGGGTGCGCACGGACCCCTCCTCGCAATCCTCGCAGGTTGGATTTCGAGGCTGAGGATGTGGATGAGCTACCCCTCTGATCCCTCCTCCGTTTCCCCCTCCGCCTCCTCTTCCTCCCTCCCTCCTCCTCCTCCTCCTCCTCCTCCTCCTCCTCCTCCCCCTCCTCCTCCCCCTCCTCCTCCTCCTCCTCCTGGGTGATTGTCATGAGGGAATGGACAGGCTCATCTTGAGTGACGGTGAGAAGGCGAGGGGGCTGGAACGTAGGCGCCTGAGAACGAGACTGACCCAGTCCCTCTTCGTCGATTGGCCCTCGTTCCTCGAACCCTCTTGGAGTCGGCAAGAGAAGAAGGAAGGGGAGGGGGAGGAGGAGCAGCAGCAGCAGGAGGCCAAGGACAAGGATAATAACGAGGAGGGCGAAGAGGAGCAGGTGGAGCAGAAGGGGGGGGAACATGAGGAGGGGGTGATGGAGATGTGAGAGGTGGGGCTTTTCAGACTCGATGCTTGCGCCAGGTATCCCAGCCTGGCTTGGTTCGCAGGTCCAGCTGCCATGGGCCAACGCTGTAGGCCAGAGGAAGAGGAGGAGGAGGAGGAGGAGGAGGACATTGACAACGATTATGATTACGAGTAAGGGGAAGGAGAAGGTAGAGGAGTGAAAAAAGCGGCTGTCGCCCGCCGCCACCAAAATAAGTTAGCGCATGCTCACATGCGCTTCCACGTCGTGACAGGCTAGCCTGGAAAGCACCTGACTCATGGGTGCTTCACCGTGGGTGCGTGCGTGCATTGATGCGCGGATCGTGCATTAACTTGAGATAAGACACGCAAGAAATTGTCAGGGTTTCTCCTAGCACTCCGTCTGTCACTGATGAACCCTAGAAGCAACAGCATTCGGCGGCGGGCGACAAGCCAAAATCGAATCGACGAGCGCACGTGAACTGCCACGCTCTGAGCCTCTAGCTGCCTTTGCGCGAACCCTGCCTGAAAGCCTTCGCAATCGGCGGGTCCAGCGAGCCCTTGGACTTGGGCTGCGCCTTTCCTTTCTTGCTCTCGGCCTTGGAAGCCACAGGGGGCGGCGCTGGAGGAGCAGGGGGCAGCTCCTTGGCCACCGAGGGGGCCTTCGTCGCAGCGGCCGTGGAAAAAGAGGTGGGCGCCTTGGCCGCACCAGGTGGCGTCTTGGCCGCAGCGGCGACCTTGCTGGTTGGGGCATCGGCCGTGACCCTGGATCTCTTCTTGGGCGGAGCCGAGGCTTCGGCCGCGCCTGCGGCCGCGCCGCCAGCTGAGGCGGCCTCATCCGTCGGCGCGGCCGCCGTCACCCCACCAGCCAAGGCCGCGGTGGCGTCAACCATCATGGTCAGCGAGTCATTGGCGGCGCCTGCGGCCGCGCCGCCAGCCGAGGCCTCAGCCTCTTTGTGCTCCCTGGCGGTGGGGCCCTGGTCGGTCGGCGCGGCCGCCGTCTCCGGCGAGCCGAGGTTGGCTGCTATGGCCGCCGCCTTGGCCTCCTCGTCGGCCAGCGCGGCCCCCTCCTTCTGGTCGGACAGCGCGGCCTCCGTCACCACGCCGTGGTTCTCGCCCTCCTGGTCCAGGTCGCTCGCACCCACCTCGCCCATCACCTCGTCGTCCTTGGACTTCTTGTCGGCCTCCCTGGACGCCTCATCCTTCTCCTGGCTGGACGTCTGGTCGGCCTGGCCATGGGCGCCGTCCATTGGGGTGCCCTTGCGGCCCTCCTCCTCCCCGTCCTCCTGAACCTCCGTGGCATTGGACGCACCCTGGGCCACGCCCAAGTCTGTTGGAGCCAATGGCTCACATGGTGCAGCCGCAGCCACTGGACCTTCAGTTGCAGCTCCACCAGTATCGAACAGCGCATCCACCGAGTGCCCAGGAGCACGATCCCGACCCCCATCAAGATCTTCAAGATCTGGCGACGCTGGGCTTCGCTGCTCTGGGGGCGCTCCGACAGGCGTGGCCATCGCGCTCGTGCTGAGGTCCTCGCCACGCTCACCTCCATCACCCAGTCCATCTGGGGGCTGCTGCTTCACCTTCAGTTCTTCGCTTTTGGTCTGGCGGAAGGCCCCATCTGGGTCCCAGACGTTGATCATAGCATCAAGGATGTTCCTATCCTTCAGCATGAACGAGTTTGAGAAAATAGAAGTCCATGGAAGCATCATCTAGGTCATCTGAAGAGGCGAAATCGATTCTGGCATCACAAGCTGCTTGAATCCGTACATGTTGCACGGCTTGTTGGTCGGTGCCATGATAACGTGGCAGCCTGGAGGTAGGTAGACGACGCTGTGCGTGGGCGCGCTCATGTAGAACACCTGGCCCTTCATCTTGGTGAGGTCCTCTTGCGACATGCAGCTGAAACGAAGGATGTTCGACTCCAGCAGCGCGTTCTCGACATTTATGCCCAAACTGAGCCCTGTCGCTGCATCGCCGATCAAGCACATTATGGAAACCCCTCCACCGAGAACGATACGGATCGACCCCAGCCCGTGAGACTCCGGACTGGAGTGGACGAGGTCCTCCCTCATGCCCCAGAGCCATGGCCACGTTAACTTCTTCATGTCGACAACAGTGGGCTCGATGTTTGGATGGTTCTCCTTTGGGACAAAGGTGCGAATCAAGCTCTTCATCACCTGGGCCACGGTCGCCGCCGACACGGGCGCGAAGATGCGGCCCTCCCCAGTGGGGTCCTTGAACTGAGGCACCCCCTTGTACTGAGCCAAGAACCTTGGCATATCCTAAAATCAAATAGCAAATGCGCCCTTGGGCCTCCAGACCTCTCCCAGACAGCGGCTCCGAAAACTAAACCCAACATCCGACATGTGTGCTTGGGTCGCATGGGCCCCAGGACCTCGGCGCCTGCAAGCATGTGCCTGCGCACTTTATGAATACAGCCAGAGAGATTCGGCGTCGCGCAGAGGGGAGGAGGGGGAGGGGGAAGGCTTCTTAGGAGGCAGTGTGCTTGTGTGCTTCTTAGGGGCCCTCCAAGGGTTTCTTTAAAGCCTTTGAGGGCTGCCAAATAGCACTCTGCCTTCCAGAAGCGCCCCCCCTCCCGCTGCCCCCCTCAGCGCGCCGCCAAGCGATGGCATAAACAAGTTGGCAACCCACCCCTGTTCGCCAAAGCCCATTTTCCGAGCATCGCCAGCAGCGTCGACTGGAATGCGGAACGGATCAGACCCAACGAATGGACCCAATTCCAAAACGAAATAACCTCTGCAGCATGGGCTGGGCAAGCTTCCCCTCGGCGAAGTTCTGCGCGGCCGCGCTCGCGACAACGAACGGCTTGGTGTAGTCAACCTGCGGCGCTCCATCCAAGAACTCTGCGTCGCTGCGGTGCACCGGGGCCACCATGCCCGCCTCGACCTTGAGCTTAAAGATGTCTGTGTTGATTCGAACTCGTGCCTTCTGCTCCGCTGCCAACCTCTCCTCCTCCTGCCTGCGCCTCACTGCCGCTGCCGCCTCCTTCTTCTCTGCCTCGGACTTCTCTTTTCTCTGCGCGTCGAAGCGCCGCTTGATGTTCCCATTGAGGTCAGTGATGCTTTTGTTCAGGGCCTTGGCCAACTGCTTCCACGCCAACTTTGTTTCCACCCAGTTGCTGAAAGCTGATTTCACCGTAGCTGTACTCTCCATCGTTGTCACCTGGTGAGCAAGCATGGCGACCACTCCAACGTTCTTCAAGCTCTGCGGGTTCTCAATTGGAACATATGCAGACCTTCATGGGGGTCAGAATAGGGGGGCATCGTAGGAAAGGGGACATTAGGTAAGACCCCCTGAAACGCGTTGCATGTTTGCGGCGTGCATTCTGCCATCTACCAGCGTAGACCCCAAACAGGAGAATGCCAGAACACCAACATGGAAACCGAATGCAAAGCACTGGAGGGCAGCAGTGGCGCCACAGTAGTGAGCGGGTAACCGCACCTGCAATACTTATCTCTTGATGGACACCCACCCCCAAGAAAAACAAGGCCTGGGGCGTGGGGCCCATGGGGATGCCTTGGAGGGAGGGCTCGAGCGACAAATGGGAGGGCTGAGTGATCAGGGCCAGGCCAGTGTCAGAGTTTCACCACGCCCCCCCCCCAGGCTGACCCCTCAAGCATGGAGATGATTTTGTTCTGCTCGATGTTAACCTCCTTCTCGACGTCTACCACGTCGTTCGCAGGGCTGTCGGCAACGATAGAAGTCACGAACAGTTTCATGAGCTTCTCCTGGGATAGGATCCTCTGGTGGCACCACGCAACCTTGCCCTCAGGGAGCTCCTTGTTGGGCTCCCGATGCACCAGTAGAAGCACCAGTAAGAGCATGTTGAGCCGCGGCTGTACAATGTCAAAGTGGGCCTTGTCATCGGCCATCGACACATCCTTGCGCTCGATGGCTTCCTGCCCCCTGAGGGCGGCCTCGCACAACTTCACGATCTCGAGGTCTTGCTCCCTGGCGATCTTGCTGGACGTGTTGGCGCGGAGGGCCATGTCCAGCGGCGGAGGCTGCTTGCCATTGGGCGCGCCGCCGCCGCCCGCGCCCTCCATGGAGGCGGCTGGGCTAGATGACTGGGCTGTGGCGGACGCCACGCGACCTTTAAGTGGGAGAAGCACAGGGCCGCCCTGGGAGAAGAACATCACAGTGGGGAGGCCCCAGGACCCCAAAGGAAAGAAGACGGGCAGAGGTAAGGGTAATGAGAAGTTAGAGGAGCAGGGGGAGGAGGAATCCAAGACACCCCCTTGCTTCCCCGCGAAAGGAACCCGGCGTCCCAGGCATGGATGATCCTGCTGGCGTTGATGGCGCGGTCGAGCTGCCAGGCGTGGTAGTCACAGCCATCTGAGCCAGCATAGCGCCAGGCCCCAAGGGCGCACTGAAACTCGGCGCGTTGGCGCTGGAGCTGCTGGCGCCAACGCTGTGGAAGTCGCCGCCGAACGTCTGCATGCCCATGCTGAGTTCTGCCCTCATCTGCGACAACTCGTCTGCTGATGCTGACTTCATCTTCTTGGAGGTATTCGTCAGCGACTTCTCCTCGATTGACGCAGTGCCAACCTTTACATAGTCACCCTTTTTGAGGTGCAGCCTGAGCTCAAAGCCTTTCTCTTGTCCAAGGTTATCTCGGCCAATCGAGGGGTCGTCCTTGAGCTTGTCCCACTCCTGCAAAGAACGCGCAGGTGTCCATCTGCGCTTCCTTTCCATCGTGGTGCTGAATTCGATGAAGTCGACCTTCTTTAGCAGATTGAAGTCCTCTGCCACGTTCTGTATGCGAAACGAGTGGGCATGGTCCATGTGGTCGAACTTGATGCGCTTCTTGCCTTTGCTCGCGCTGGGGTTAGCCTCCTCTGCCATTTTCATCTTCATCACGCACCTCGCTGGATCTGCCATGGCCTCCTTGTGCGCATCTGAACACTCTGTCGTCTTGGTTCCTGTGGCCTTGGTCTTATCAAGGTCCTGTCGCTCTGCGTCCACTCGCAAGGACTCGGCCAGTGACTTGTGGGGCTTGCAGAAACGATGACGCATGCACCGGGGCTCGCCGCATACGATGCACACGTTGGGGTCATCAAAGAAACCCGACTGGTCTAAAAGAGACTGCTCTGACGCCTGCGCCGCAGCAGCGGCAGCGACGCCTGTGCCGCAGCAGCCACCGCCGCTCAAGTCAATTCCCATTCTCATCGCGTCTACTTCATTCAACGAGAAAGGAACCTCACCGGGAGCATCCGACATGCCTCAGCGCTACTTGGGGCCAAGTTGAAAGGGCCTCCCTCGGACTCGTGTCAAGGGCAAAGCTGGAGAGAAGGGTGACAGCGTTGACAGTTGGGCCAAATGGCCGCTATTGCCACAACATATACAGCAACTTGCTCCAGGTACCTGGGACCCACGCCTGTCTGAAAAGGCCCCATGCCAAGCGAAGGAGGCGCGACGTCCGCATGTGGACATTTCCCAAGAGGGCCAAAGAGGCGGTGGAGGAGGAAGAGGGAAGAGGAGGAGGAGGAGAGGAGGAGGAGGATGGACGGATGGACGGATGGAGGAGGAGGAAGAGGGACAAATTAACAGAATGATCAGACGTGCTTGCTGCGCCTTGCGGCTCTGGCGGCTCGAACCCGCGCAGCGGGGGCGCCCCTGGCCGACTCCCCTTGGCCAGCCAGCTGCAGGAGGCCGCGCGTGCCCCCCATCCTCCTGCCTCTTGCACCCCGCGAAACATCTCACGAAAAGGACGCAATGAGGTCATTTGGGTCTCTGAGGCCGATGGAAAGACTATGAGGGGGATTGGGGGATCGGCCTCTCAGGCAAGTAAGTGATTTGCGGCGCAGGCAGCAGGGTGATTAGCGTCAGAGGGAGGGAGCAGCAGCAGGCAGACGAAGCATGAAACGAAGGATAAGGATGGAAGGGGCGAGGAGTAGTAATAATGATAAGCGGCATGGAGGCGCGCAGAGTTCTCGACTTCAGCTGTCTTCTCGTGGGGGCGGCGGCACAACGGCCTAACATGAAATATGGAAGGAAACTGCTAACCAGTTTCACGATACGGAAAACGAGACAAAGCTGAATCACTACACGAATTTTAAACTCGGCGGCCAGCCGAAGCTGGGAAAGTCCAGGAAGGCACTGGGAGGGGCCAAGGTCTTCAAGGTAGGCCGCAGGCCCCCCAGGCTGGAAAGAAAAACAAACGCACTCTAAGTTCGACTGCAAGGAGGAGCGGGGGAGGAGGCGAGGGCTGGGCGGCGCCAACATCAGGCGCGGCTGGCGGCCGCCACAGGCCTGGATGACCCAGGCGCTCACGAGGGCGATCCACCGCACGACAACGAGGCACAGCGGTGGCTGGGTGAGTGGTTGGAGTAAGTGGAGCTATACGCGCAGAGCGTATGTCCCCACCGCCTTCACAGAAGCCGAGGCCGAAGCCTTCCAGGCAACTGGAGATATTCATCATACACACCAGTCGAGAACTGAACCAGTAGATACTCCATTCCCAATCAATACGATGATGAATGTCAAAGCAACTCAAACCAAAGTATATCGTGCGAAGTACCCACCGTCACGATGGCAAGGACAGTAGCTGTATTAGTGGTTGGAGTAAGTGGAGCTATGCGCGAGGCGCATGTCCCCACCGCCTTCACAGAAGCCGAGGCCGAAGCCTGCTAGGCAACTGGAGATACTCATCACAGTGACCAGCCGTAGACTGCAACCAGTAGATACTCCATCCAATGAACACGATGATGGATGTCAAGATCAATCAAACCAAAGTATGCAGTACGAAGTATCAGCTGTCACGATGGCGTCATCACTCATCTCCGAGATCACTCATCTCCAAGAGTATTGGGCGAGGAGTAGGACGAGGAGGACAGCAAAGCAGACCAGGAATGAGTACCCCTATCGCCCCAGGCCTCATGGCGGCTACACTGGCTGGCGTGATGGCAGGACCAGTGCCTCCTGCGACTGCTGGCTGGGAGTCCCTGGGAGAGTGGGGGGGAACTTTGAACTCAGGGAGGAGGGGGGAGGACAAGGATCTCCGCATTTTCAAAAGCCATTGCTGTGCGCACAGAGATCCACGCGCTAATATTGTTCTGCAATCAATCGCATGTTGATCTCCTGTCTTCTTCCCACCCTCACTGCCGTCTCCCCTCCCTCCTCCCTGACTCCTTTGTCTCTGAAATCAAAAATCCAGGGCCACCAAAAATGCATCCCCACCCTCCTCATCGTCCTCCTCCTCCTCCTCCTCCCCAGGGGCCCGCCCTCTCGCTCTCAGTATCCCCCCCTGGGGCCCGTCCCCTATGTTGGACTCTTGCCGCCTGCTGCTATCGCTACCCTGCCTCTTCCCATCCACATCCCACTGGTAGCGACCTACCACGGCTCGCGACACGTGTCTGCGAGGTCTAATGACCCTGGCGAGGGCTCAGGAGACTCTGGCCTGGGCAGTGGAAGCTCTGGCCTGGGAAGAGTGTCATCCAGGGAATCATCTACGGCAATGCACTCCTTAGAAGATGAAGAACCCGACAACTGGAGCTCAGGAGCCGCTAATGGGGGCTGGGGAGCCTTTGGAATATGATCTGGCTGGCTCGGCTGGCCCAAGGCAGAGGGCCCCTCGACCGACGACGCCATCTTCGGCGCCGCGTCATCGCCGTCGTCATCGATCGCGAGGTCGGGCACTGAGGCAAACGAACGCCTTCTCTTCACACCGAGGTCACTGAACACGCTGTCTGGGGACGGCAACATGTCGTCGACGCGCATCAAGTTGGACAGAACGTAGAGGAACATAGCACCGACGACTGGCATCGCGATGCCATTTCCGACCAGCCCCCCTGCTTCTGCGACTGGCATATCTTTGAGCATCTTGGCGAAGGGGCACTTTAAGTAGCCATCCGCCAATGGGCCCCCATCGATCGCGGGCATGCCGAGGGAAAGCAGATTCTCCCTGACGGTCGAGGGGCGCCGATGTTTCTGAGACCACAAGGTCACGTTCCTCGTGACTGCCGGAAAGTATGGCCCACATGACGTGTACGAGGGCCACTGCTCGAGGTCGAACATGTAGTCATCATTGGAGGTCTGCTTCTTAGCCATGTCACTCTGGAAGGCGAGCAAGCGCTCCTTCTCGTGCTTACTCAGGACGTCTTCGAAGTTGAACTTGGCAGTCACTGCTCCTGGGTTGATGTATAGGCCCTTCTTCTGCGCCCGTCGCGCCAGGTCTTCCAGGACGCAGGCCTTGGAGTCGATGTAGAACATCTCTCCACTGGCTATACGCGTGGCGCCGAACAACTCAGACTGGTAGTCGTCGGGGCCTACCCACATCAGCTTCTGCTTGTTGTAACCCCAGGTGAAGCTTCTTGGGCGCCGAGCTGGGATGCCCATTGTTTCAGGGCCGAGCTTGAAGAAAAGCAAGCCCATGGATGGCCCCGCAACCTGCTGGAACTTCTCCTCAGAGGGGAAGCGGTGGGAGCATTCGTGTCCAAACAAGTCCCCCAGCCCTCTCTCCATCATGCTGCGTCTCTCTGTGAGGTAGATATTGAGCGGCCGATTGGAAGGATGCGCGCCTCTCAGTTGGCCGCCCCGGGGGGTCCAGCCCAAGCAATCTGAACCTGCCACGTGAACGTTCAACCTATCCTTCAAAGTAGGATCCCTGGAGTCATCCTGGTGGTCGAGCCGCGCGACTTGGCTTGGGCTGAGCAGCTGACCCTTCCCCATTGTGCGCATATCTGTTGAAGTCGTCGATATGTCGAAGAGGAGGGATTCGTTCTCCATCAGGTAGCTTAGCATGTCGACATATGCTGCTTCCCTCACAGGGCTTGCCGCAGAGGTGGGCGGTTCCATCTCATCTAGCTTGGTCCTGATCGCCTCTGGGAGCCTGTCGTTAATGTCATTGAACAGGAATGTTGGTTGGTCCATCTCACGGGACAAGATCACACGCTGCGCTGCAGGGGCAATGTCGCAGGCCCGATGCAATGAGGGGAGAGGAATACCCTCGAAGCCAGACACCGTCTTGAGCGACTTCATGTGCATAACCAGAGCGTCCTCAAACATCATGATGCCAGAGTAGTCTGAGCTGATGCTCATGCCGCGCTCCAAGTTCATCAAAAGCCTCACTCCCTTTCACTCGCCCCCTCCTCCTTCTGCTGTTGCACGCCTCTTTATCAGCTCAGAGGGGGGTGAACATTTATTGGGGGGGTCGCCAACAGCGAGGGGGGTGGAGCAGATTGGGGTGGCCCCCCTCCCCCCGCCAACATGTGTTTGTGTGTGTTGTTGCTTGTTGCTGCTGGCAATCCTGACTTTGGGAATGCTTTGCAGGGGCGAGACCGCTGGCTTGGAGGGCCCATGTAAGCCATGGTCCTCTTGGAGCCCTCTTGGAGCCTGTTGGGGCCCTCTTGGAACCCTCTTTGGGCCCCTTGGGGGCCCTCTTGGAGCCTTCTTGGAAGCCCAAGAGGAGCCCATTGGAACCTTTTTGGTGCCCTCTTGGGGCCCTCTTGGAGCCCTCTTGGAGGCCCAAGAGGGCCCCAAGAGCATTGCGTGATGCGATGGAGCGCCAGAGCCGCAGTCGTTTGCAACAGGCCCACCAGAATTTTGCAAAAGCGCGCATTCTTCACTGCATAACACGATTGCCCACATGACCAAGTCCACTTGGCTGGGCGATCTCTGCTATGGCCGCGTATCCCGATCTATACTTTATCATCATGCTTCGATTGTCAACCCCGCCCCCTCCTTGCACGCATGCAAGCGTCACTCAGGAGAGACGTGATACTCTTGCTGGGGTACGACATGAACTCGCTGATCGTGCTGGGGCCGAACTTCTCGGAAAGCAAGGCGGCGCTCTCATCCGCCTCCCCTGTTGCGTGCCTGCCACGCTTCCTCGGCGACCGCGCCGCCGCCATGGCGGATGTTAGGAAAACCCTGGAAGCCAATCAAAATGCAGGACGCTCAAACGCCTCTGACGCAAATGATTCCGGACACGAGGAACGCGGACGCTTCAGGACACGAGCTAAACGGACGCTTAAGGACACGTGGAAAACGGACGCTCAAGGACACGACGAAAACGGACGCTTAAGACACGAGGAAAACGGACGCTGAAGGACACGAGGAAAACGGACGCTTAAGAACACGAGGAAAACGTACGCTTA